GAGGTTAGCTGTAGGGGCTCAGCGTCACTGGCCTGCATGTGGGATCCAAGCTGGGCCCACTGCTCAGAGCTGGTGTCCCAAGCCAACTCTTAACCAACGCACCACTTGGCCAGCTCACTGACTATTTTTTAATCAATTGTTTTTTTCTATTAAATTGTATGAGTTCTTTATATATTTTGAATATTATTCCCTTATTAGATATGTGTTTTGCAAATATTTTCTCTCAGTCTGTGTCTCATAATTTCTTTTTTGCAGAAGTTTATTTATTTTATTTATCTTTTTAGATTTTATTGGGGAGTTGGGGGAGGGAACAGCTTCGGGGAATCAGGGAAGGGGAACAGACAAGTTGCTGTCCTTTTGTTCTTCAGTCTAGTTGAGGACGCTGCTTCACTGGCCCATGTTGGTATTGTGATCATTGCGCTCTTCCCAGCTGAGGCAGATGGGTCGCTGGCCATTGGATGGCCACTCACGCTGGCTGCCGGCCACTCATGGTAGCTTACAGCAGCCCACTGCAGCCCCACTGCAGCCTATGCCATCGCCCACAACTCACGGCAGCCCAGCTGCAGGTCAAGCTGTTCACCATGTTAGCTGTAGAGGGTGCCGTGTCACAGGCCCATGTGGGATTTGAACTGGCGGCCCTGCTGCTCAGAGCTCACGCTCCCAAGCCAACTCTTAACCAATGAGCAACTCAGCTGGCCCCAATTTTTTAATTCTTTTAAAAAAAACTTTTATTGGGTAACTGTGTTTTTTCCAGGACCCATCAACTCCAAGTCAAGTCATTGTCCTTCAATCTAGTTGAGGAGGGTGCAGCTCAGCTCCAAATCCAGTTGCTGTTTTCAGTCTGGTTGCAGGCGGTGCATCCCACCATCCCATGCGGGAATCGAACTGGTGACCTTGTTGTTAAGAGCACACACTCTAACCAACTGAGCCACCCAGCTGCCTGCAGAAGGTTTTTGTTGTTGTTGTTTTTTAATTTTATTGGGGAATTGGGGGTGGGGAACAGTGTTGGGGAATTGGGGAAAGGGAATAGCCAAGTTGTTGTCCTTCAATCTTAGTTGTGGAGGGCGCAGCAAGCTCAGCTCCAAGTCCAGTTGCGCTGCTCAGCCCAAGGTGCTGTGTTCAATTGCAGGTGGGCGTAGCCACCATTCTGTGGGGGAGTTGAATTAGCAGCCTTGTTGTTAAGAGCACACACATGCTCTATCCACTGAGCCATCTGGGTAGCAGCTCTGCTCAAGGTGCCAAGTTCAGTTTTAATTTCGGGTGGGCGTAGCCACCATCTCATGTGGGAGTCGAACCAGCAGCTTTGTTGTTAAGAGCATGTGCTCTATCCCCTGAGCCACCCAGGCGGCAGCTCAGCTCAAGGTGCCAAGTTCAGTCCTTAGTTGCGGGCGGGCGTAGCCCACCATCTCAAACAGGCAACCTTGTTGTTAGGAGCATGTGCTCTCACCAGCTGAGCCATCCTGTCACCTGTTGGCAGCTCAGCTCGGGTACAGCTCACTGGCCCATGTGGGAATTGAACTGGTGACCTTGTTGCTCAGCGCTCACACTCTTGAGCAAGCTGTTAACCAACTGAGCCACTCGGCCGGCCCAGAAGCTTTTAATTTTAATGAAAACTTACCTTTTTTTTTTTTTTTAACTTCGTGGATTGTACTTTTGGTGTCCTAAAAAGTCATCACCAAACCCAGGGTTACCTAAGTTTTAGACTAAGTTATATTATAGGAGTTAACATAGTTTTGTGTTTTACATTAGCTCTTTAGTCAGTTCGAGTTAATTTTTGAAAAAGGTATAAGTTCTGTGTCTAGATTATTTTTCTTTTTAATGTGGGTATCTACTTGTTTAATTCCATTTGTTGAAAAGATTATCCTTTTTCCATTGAATTGCCTTTGCTCCTTTGTCAAAGATCAGTTGATTGTATGTGCATCAATTTTGGAGCTTTGTGTTCTGTTCCATTGATCTATTTGTTTATTCTTTGACCTATACTACAGTCTTGATTATTGTAGCCTTGTAGTAAGTCTTGAATTATAGACCAGCAATGAGCAATTAGAATTTGAAATTAAATGCACAATACCATTTGCATTAGCACATACACACACACAAAGAAATGCATAGGTATAAATCTAACAAAATATGTATCTAACAAAATATCTGTATGAGGAAAATTACAAAACTCTGACCAAAGAAATCAAAGAAAATCTAAATAGAGATATTCCATGTACATGGATAGGAAGACTCAGTATTGCAAAGATGTCAGTTCTTCCCAACTAGATTTATATATTTAGCACATTCCCAGTCAGCATCCCAGCAAGTGATTTTGTGAACATCAACAGAGTCTAAAGTTTACATGGAAAGGCAAAATACCCAGAATAACTACACAATATTGAAGGAGAATAAAGTGGGAGGACGGACAGTACCTGACTTACTAGAAAATTATAGTAATCAAGACAATGTTTTGTTGGCAAAAGGATTGACAAATAGATCGAAGGAGCAAAATAGAGACCTCCAACAGGGTGGGTTCCAATCCTAGTTCTGCTGCTTACTAGCTCTGAAATTTTAGGCAAATCATTTTAGTTTTCCTCATCTATAAAATCATTATAGGATTTGTATGAAGATTAAATGAGATCATTCATATGAGGCATTTAGCACATTGCCTGAGACATGGTAAAAGCTTGATAAATTTTAGCTATTGTACATTTTCTAAATTGATCCTGACAAGATTCATAAAAAAAGAAGCAGATGAAGTATTATTCCTATTTTATAGATCAGGAAATAGAGTTTCAGGGCTATATAATATTTGAGAAAGGTCAAGTGGTTAAATAAATGGCAGAGCCAGAACTACACGTATAACCTAGACTAGAATTAGTCAATATTACCTATCTCAGTCTAGGGTGGCCAGAAAGATTATGCCCTCAGCAGAGATTTTTTACAAATATATGAAAACAAAATTTAAAAATAAATGATTCAGGCAGCACATTAATGTACTTTTATCCACAATGAAAAAAATCATTGTTAACCCAACTTTTAATTCCTGATGCATTGTCCTTTTGATATATTTTCATATTTAATTTGTTAACATTTTGTTTAGGATTTTTGCATGTATATTCATGAGTTATAGTGTCCTGTGATTTTTCCTTTTCATAGTGTTCTTATCAGGTTTTTGTATCAGGGTTTTTCTGGCATCATAAGTTGTATTGGGGTATGTTTACTCCTTTTCCTATTCTCTGGAAGAATTTGTAGAAGGTTGGTATTATTTTTTTTTCCTTAAATATTTGGTATAATTCTCTAGTGAAGCTGTCTGGATCTAGAATCTTTTGGTGTGTGTGGAAATATTTTTAATTGTGGATTTAATTTTTTCAAATAGTTACAGGACTGTTCAGATATTTTAAATGTAAGTTCATTCAGATAATAGTTATTTATCAATTGAATTTATTATTTGAACTTTATTTGACAAAGCTACAACATTTTGAATTTTAAAACCTAATGCTAGTATCACTTAGGGTTTGTTTTTTTTAACTGTGATAAAAGACACATAAGGTTAAATTTACCATCTTAGCAATTTTTAAGTGTCCAGCTCAGTAGTAGTTAAGTATGTTCACATCGTGGTGCAACTAATCTCCAGAACTCTGTTAGTCTTAGAAAACTGAAACTATACCCACTAAGCAACAATTCCCCATTTTCCTTTTCCTCCAGCCTCTGGCAATCACTCTTCCACTTTGATTCTATGAATTTGACTACTCCAGGTATTAATACGTGGAATAATGTAGTGTCTTTTTGTGACTGGCTTATTTTACATAGCATAATGTCCACAGGTTCATCTATGTTGTTGTGTGTGTCAGAATTTTCTTCCTTTTTAAGGCTAATATTCCATTGTATATATATACACCACATTTTCTTTCTCCATTCATCCATCAGTGGACATTTAGGTTGCTTCCACCTTTTGGCTATTGTGACTAATGCTGCCACAATCATCTCTTCAACACCCTGTTTTCAATGCTTTTGAGTATATACCCTGAAGTAGAATTGCTAGATCATATGGTAATTCTAATTTTAATGTTTGGAAGAACCACATGCTGTTTTCCAAAGTGGCTGTACCATTTTACATACATTTCTACCAACAGAGGACTTTTCAAACTTCATATATTTTCATGTATCAGTAAGCTGTATTTGTCTTGTTTCTTCAGACTTTCAAATTTATTGACACAGTGTTTATGATATCTTGAGTACCTGTAATTAAATCATTTTTCCCCCCACTTATTTGGTTCCATATGCCTTTTTTCCTCCTGTTTTAAGAATCAGTGTTGCCTGGAGTTTATAAATTTTATTTATCTTTTCAAGTAATTGATTTTGTGCTTTATTGATCCTTTTTATTGTCTGTTGTTTTTATTTTGTTCATTTGTTCCTATCCTTATAATCTCCTACTCTCTTTAAGTTTACTTTGCTGTTAATCTCACACACTTTGGGTCTGGTTTTGGTTTGCTCATGCTCTCCTGCAGGGGTCGGCAAACTGTAGCTCGCGAGCCACATGCAGCTCTTTGGGTACGTACATGTGGCTCTGAAGTAAAATTGAAAATGAAAATAAAACTATCATAGTTTCGTTTATAAAATTTTTAAAGGATATTATTCATATAATGTTGACTTCATTTGTTTAATGGCTCTCGAATAATTTTTCAATTGTTGTGAGGATCAGGGTTGGCTCTTCCATCTCAAAAGTTTGCCAACCCCTGCTCACCTGGGTTAGTGTGATTGCTCTCCCTTCTTTCTACCTCTTCCAAAAACAATTTTCCAGAAGTAGCCAGGGTTTTGTTTATCTGTTTGTAAGCGGGGTTTTTTTTTGGTATGTTTATTTTAATAAGGAGAATAAATTGGGATGAAACAAGTTGAAGTGTTAGAAATTGGCTTCAACCCCATGATCAGCTGTGCTTACAATTCTAATGTACCTGAATGACAAGATTATCAAATGCAGTTTGTAACAGTGATATTCTTTTTTTTCTCCTCCCTGGCAGGACCCGTTGGGGCCCAGCCCCTGCTCATGGTGCCCAGAAGACCTGGCTATGGCTCCATGGGCAAACCCATTAAATTGCTGGCTAACTGTTTTCAAGTTGAAATCCCAAAGATTGATGTCTACCTCTATGAGGTAGATATTAAACCAGACAAGTGTCCTAGGAGAGTGAACAGGTAAGAGTCATGAAATCATGGAGATCTTTTGCTGTATTTGTCTTTCCCATAGTAATTGTTTGTCTTGTATATCCGAATAAACATTATTAATGTCTAACAGTTTGACCAAGAACACATGGTAATTTGTTTTGAAGTTGATTGTACGTCAGAGGTGTGATGGTGGGTAAAATCTCCAAACAGCCTTGAAATTTTTCCATTATAGCATAAGCTCGTATGTTTTTTCTGTGATGATAGAAAAGGTCCAAGTCATTTTTATATGCTTTTGAAACCAGGCTGAGCATCTTTTCTCTTGCTGTTAGGAAATACATCTGTGTTTTCTTTTTCTCCCCGTCCCACCCCCACCTTATTTATCCCATTTGTAATGTTCCCTTTAATATGATCGTGGTGGTAGCAATTGTGGCTGGAGATGCCGATTGTCATGGATTCATGCTTTTTGTTCTCCTGATTCTCAACTTCTGTTTCTTACTCTTATATAGGAACAAGTACATAGGTGTATAAAGATTTATCAGTCTGCTTTCAGTAAAGCTTCTTCTCTCACTTCCCCTAAATACTCTATTTGTGCATGGCTGTGGTTTACGTAATACAGGGAATATGAAAGGAAATTGTGATGTGGTGTACACCATAAAGGAGGTTTAAAAAAACAACTTATGGACAAAATATTTAGAAAACAATGATATTCAACTTAGTGTTTTGGTCTGTAGTATCAAATACCCCAGACTTTTCTTATTCAATAAGAATTATTAAGAGCCTTCATTTAAGACATAGATGAGTACACCTGGAACTTACGTAATGTTATAAACCAATGTTACCTCAATTTTTAAAAAACGACATAGATGGTTCTTGCTGTCAAGAAATTTGTAATTTACTGGAGGAGAAAAGCCTCGAGATATATGAAGTGAATGAGCACTAAGAGACTTCGTAATAACGTAAAAAAAAAAAATCATGAATGTTATCATTAACATGTAATGCAGAGTTTTTTCTGAGGTCAGGAAGAGAGTTATGGAGTATTACAAGTAGAATCTAAGAGATCAACTCATCTGATACTTGTTTTTATACCTGAAACCCAGGAAGGCTAAGAGGCTTACTCAAGAACACACATTTCAGGCCGGCCAAGTGGGACGTTGGTTAAGAGTTGGCTTGGGGCGCCAGCTCTGAACAGCAGGGCCCCAGTTCGGATCCCACATGAGGACCAGTAACACTGCACCCTCTACAGCTAAGATGGTGAACAATGGCTCGACCTGGAGCTGGGCTGCCGTGAGTCGCCGGCAACGGCGTAGGCTGCAGTGGGGCTGGCCGGCAGCGGGCATGCGCTTTCGTGAGCTGCCGTGCGCCGAGGTGAGTGGCTATCCAATGGCCAGCGAGCGACTGCCTCACCTGGGAAGAGCACATTGATAATACCAACATGGGCCAGTGAAGCAACGTTCTCCACAACTAGACTGAAGAACAAAAGGACAGCAACTTGTCTGTTCCCCTTCCCTGATTCCCCAACGCTGTTCCCCTCCCCCAATTCCCCAATTAAAAAGAAAAAAAAATCTTTAAAAAATGGCATAAATGAGCTTTATATTTTGTTAATAATATTGACTTGATTTTGTATCAACATCTGCAAAACTTTTTCCGTTTATTTTCTTCAAAAGAACTAGTTTTTGTCTTCACTTTTTGCAATATTACTACATTACTAGTCAGTTAAAATTGTTGGTGGGCTTCTGAAATTAGTTTAGTTCCTACACTTTAACAACTGGAATTCTAGAAATTAGAAAGAACTAGGTAGAACCTTACAATTCCTTTTCAGCATTAACTGAACAGTTATGGGCCAATATGCAGCAGTATGTAAATCAACACATACGAGGTTTCTCTTGTCCATATGCCACATGCTCAAATATTTGTCACGATGGTGTTAATCATAATAGCAGAATGATTTATTGTAGCCAAACAAGTTTCCACTTTAGTCAGAGGAGTTTTCTTGGACAAAATATCCAGGAAATGCTTGTGAATCATTTTGTGAGTCAACTTCTCTTCTTTAGACTTTCTGTCTGTTGGTATTTTTTTTTCCTTTCCCCACCCTTTCGGGTGTGTGTGTGTTTCTTTTTTCCTATTTAATGATTTTGATTGAAAATGATCATTTGGTAGAAGATCACGTTTGTTAAGCAGATTTCAAATGTTTCTAGTTTTTCTAAAACAAGTGAATGGTCTCAATACCTAAAAGTCAAATATTTTTAGAAATATTATGGCCTAGAGTATAAATTCTGTAACTTGAGATTTTATGCTAGTTTGTCCAGCTACTAAATGTATATGGGGATAAACCTTGAGTAGACTATAATGTATTGGGTTGTCGGAAAAGTTGTGATGCATTTTTGCAACGAAAAACACAGAAAAAATACATCATGACTTTTCTGACAACCCAATAGTTATTCAAAATCATTGAATAATGAAATAGATGGCGAAAATTGTATATACAACATATATGTAACAAATCTATTTTAGGCATGGATAAAGATTTGAAGGAATCATGAAATAGTTGGTAGTAGATTGTGGTTGAAATTTTTTTTTTTTGGTTCAATTTTCTTTTATGTTTTTTTGGTGTTTTTTTTTTTTTAAGATTTTATTGGGGAATTGGGGGAAGGGGATCAGACAAGTTGTTGTCCTTCAGTCTTAGTTGTGGAGGGTGCAACTAGCTCAGCTCCCAAGTCCAGTTGCCATCTGGCTGCCCATCGTCAGCTCAGGGCAGCTCAGCTCAAGGTGCCGTGTGCCGTGTTCAATCTTAGTTGTGAGTAGGTGTAGCTCACCAACCCATGTGGGAGTCAAACCGGCAACCTTGTTAGGAGCACGTGCTCTCACCCACTGAGCCATCCTGCCACCTGTTGGCAGCTCAGCTCAGGCGCAGCTCACTGGCCCATGTGGGAATCGAACTGGTGACCCTGTTGCTCAGAGCTCATGCTTTAACCAACTAAGCCACTTGGCCAGCCCTCAATTTTCTTTTATAAATTAACATTATCTTGTAGACATTGTATTATTGTAATTACTGTTACTGTTAATTATGATTAATGACAGTGCCAAATATTTGTGCATATTGCATATGAATGTAATGTAATTCTGATGATTGATACCATTTTGGCTTTTAAATGGAAATTTCACTAGAGTGTTTAAAGGAATTCCTTTTCTGCTATTATTAGGAATATCATTGGCATAGTGTTATAATTGGGTAGTATGCTAAGAGAGGGATATACTTTTTTTTATTTTTTTTATTGGGGAATTGGGGGAAGGGGAACAGACAAGTTGCTGTCCTTTTGTTCTTAAGTCTAGTTGTGGAGGATGTTGCTTCACTGGCCCAAGTTGGTATCATCATTGCACTCTTCCCGGGCAAGGCAGATCAGTCGCAGGCTTCTGGACGGCCGCTCACGCTGGCTGCTGGCCACTCACGGTAGCCCATGGCAACCCACTGCAGCAGTGGCTGCAGCCTATGCCATCGCGGGCAACTCATGGCAGCCCAGCTCCAGGTTGAGCTGTTGTTCAGCATCTTAGCTGTAGAGAGCAGTGTCACTGGCCCTCATATGTGGGATCTGAACCGGGGCCCTCTGGCATCTCAAGCCAGCTCTTAACCAGCGCACCACTCGGCCGGCCCGAGGGATATACTTTTTTAAAATAACAACTTTACTGATATAAAATTTACACACTACACAGTTCACTCATTTAAAGTGTACAGTTCAGTGGTATTTAGTATGTTCCCAGAGATGGTGTACAACCATCACCAATATCTAATTTTAGAATATTTCATCCTCCCAAAAAGAAATCCCATACTTGTTAGTAGTCGTTACTCATTGCCTCCCTCCCTGCAGCCCCTGCCAAACATTACTCTCTGTCTCTGTAGATATGCCTTTTCTGGACATTTCATATAAATGAAATCATATAATATGTGGCCTTTTGTGTGACTGACCTCTTTCACTTCACGTAATGTTTTCAAAGTTCATCCACATTGTAATATGTGTCAGTACTTCATTCCTTTTTATTGCTGAATAATATTCCATTGTATGGATATTTTGTTTATTGATTTATCAGTTGATGGACATGTGAGTAACTTGTACTTTTGGGCTCTTATGAATAATGCTGCTGTGAACATTTGTGTACAGGATTTTGTGTGGATGTATTCTCCTTTCTCTTGGGTGTATGCCTAGGAGTGGACTCACATGGGAACTCTGTATTTACTCTTCTGAGGAATTGCCAGACTCTTTTCCAAAGTGGCTGCATCATTTTATATTTCCACTAGCAGTGTGTGGTGATCCCAATTGCTCCACATCCTCACCAACATTTGCTGTCTGTCTTATTTATTATAGCCATCTCAGTGGGTGTTAAGTAGTATCTCATTGTTATTTTGATTTGCATTTCCCTAATGGCTGATGATGTTGAGCATCTTTTCATTGTTGGCCATTTGTATATTTTTGGAGAAATGTCTTTTCAGATCCTTTGCCCATTTTTTTGGATCATTTGTCTTTTCGTTGAGTTGTAGGCGTTATACCTTCTAGTTAGAAGTCCCTTATCAGATATATAATGATTTGCAAAAATTTTCTCCCTTTCTACATGTTGCCTTTTCACTTGCTTGATGGCATCCTTTAAAGCACAAACATTTTTAATTTTTATGAAGTCCAATTAATTTTTTCTTTTGCCAGTTCTTTTGGTGTCATATCTAGAGAGGGCTATACTTCTGATTAAAATGACTTAGAGGACATACCCCAGAAAACACTGCCAGTGAACATAATCAGTATAGTTTTGTGTATTTAGCTATGTTGGGGAAACTGTACCATATAAAATATGTCAGTTAATACTATGTCAGTTTATTTTCCTTGTTAGTTAATCACTTGGAAGATAGGAAAGCTAACAGATGGTGATTATTTCAAATCTCAAAATTCTTTTAAAGTAGCACCTAAATAAATTACTCAATAAAAATTAGTCTTTTGGCTAAACATTACAATATATTTGAAATTCAAAGATATTTTTATAAATAAATA